AGCCTGATAACCGTCTCCCGCTGTCTGTTCTGCGTTGGGGCTGGCTGTAGCCATATTGTCAGTGGTTGTTTGGCTTCCTACCGTCTCGCCGTAGTCTGCAGCCTGGGTAAGTGGGTGGAGGGGGTCACTGGTTGATGTTTCATTACCCAGGAAATGCTATCTAAACACGCTAGCTATTTCCTGATGTCGAGGAACGGTGCAGATCCTGCGACCTAACCAAATTAAATACCACTGGTCGTTTATCATGAGTATACATCCACGAGAGGATTATTTGACTGATTGTGGCTCAACCAACATCTAGGCCGATGAGGCATATGAAAGAATGTGGTGATCTATTATTTCTGGCAAAGACTAGGGAGACTGGAATGGCATTTTCTGGCTAATTTACCGTCGTCAGTCATTAATATCCAGCCGCAAGTGGCGTATCACCCGAGTCTCGAACTCGCCACCTTTTGATGAAAGTCTAATGTCCTAACCATTGAGCCACGAGCTCCTTGCCTTGCCAGTTTAGTTCTACAGACATTAATACTGGCTGACGAATGTTCACAGTGTAGTAATTTTGGATTGATTTTCCCCTTTATAGTAAGTTTGGCAGAGGTAGGCAAATGTGTAACAACAGTCGACGGATGTCAGCATACGTGTGTAACCGTAAGCGACAGTTACATATGTAAGTGCGACGATGGATACGAATTGCAGAGCGACGGAAAATCTTGCGAACGTGAGTTACCCTTTTTATTTACTTAACGCCTTTCATATTACACCCGAATACTTAAGATCAGTTAAAGTTGTGCACGTTTGCGTTCTCTATTTGCAATTAGCTCTTTGTGTGGCTACCGAGTGATGCCGCGAGCAGCACCAAGCTTACGCAAAAGAATGGTCCTTAACGTTTTTATTTACTCCTGGGAAATAGGCATATGCAGGAGCGAAAAAAATACTGCCTTGCTTTATGAATACAAAAGGCAGTCAAATCTCACTAATTAATTTTATTACAGTGATACCCTGTGGGGGTGAATTAAAAATGGATCAGGGAGTCCTTACCAGCCCCCTCTTCCCCAAGACATACCCACCGGACCTCAACTGCGTCTGGAAGATTGTAGTTCCCCAAAGATTCACTGTGGTCCTGACATTGGAGAGTTCCGACGTAAGTACAAATGTGATAACGATTGGCACTACTTCCACTAGACATATGAGTATCCCTGATTTGAATGACCGTATTATTTATTTTTTTATGGATTAAAACCAACCAAGCTGCATGTCTAGACGGCCTTTGACCATAAGCAAAGCGTGAGTTGTACCTTCTAGGTATGCAATAAACACATCTACGACACGGCATGCAGTAGTGACACTAGTGAACAATCTTTTTCAAAGTGCACGGTATTTTAGAAGAATAGGATTCTGAAAGCCATGGTATACAGATGAGTATTTCTCGTTGAAATGAAGAGGGGGACTTGCACAATACATTTCTTACATCAGCTCAACAACACAGCGCCCAACGTGAAATCGACCTTGTGGATTGGCGGACTCGTTCACACCCTTAATGACTAGTCAACTTTAGGCTCGTGATAAGCTGGTGATGCACATCACCCACAGTGGTAGAAAACATGTCTGGGATGAATACTGGATCGGCAAAGGTTCTTCAGTCAGTGCCGTAGAAGATTAAATGCAACAATCACCAACGCAAAGTAGAGGAAGCTGAAGACCAAAGAGGTTGAACTGTTCGAGTCCGGGTGAGATCTCGCTTAAAGACGAAATGCTAACGCCTCCTGTGTGTGTCGTGCAAACGCCTGCCAGTCGAACAGAACAAATGAAGTAACAAGCTTGCTCTCAGTGCACGCATAGTTTCATAAGGAGCACATACAGAGCGGTGGGTATTTTACGCAAAATACCGAATTGAGCAAAAGATTGCTCATCACTCTCAAAGCCGACATTAAGAAAATTTTTAATCCCTATTATGTTGTTGTCTAATGTCACGTCAGTTCAGTCACGCCAACCCTTGTGCAAGGAGGTCAGATGAATATTCTGCGGCGTTCAACACAGTGTAACTCAATTATCCTTTCACATTGTTCAAAATATTTTAATATTAGGGTCTCAGTGTATTTGATAGTCACTAGAAGTCTTATCTATCTGTGAAATAATGTCTAAACACCGTCCTTTGCCGCCAGCAGTGCAACCGTATTTAAGGTAACGAGATCATTAAACGTGAAACCACAAAATTTCGTAAATTGATTAACTGAGATTACATTTTTGACTCCGCAATAGATTGAAGACTATAAAAACAACTTAAAGCTTTTGTGGAGCTACAGCGCCCGCTAAATAGTAAAAACAGAAACCTACGAATCTCGACAAAGTCTAGAAAATCTTATTTTTTTCTGTATTGCAGGAAAAACCTGCCCCCACTCCCCTCCCAATTCTCTGTTATGACTTCGCTTAAATCCACAAACAGCCATTTCCATAACGGAGGTATATCTGCATCAAAGCCGGAATGCAGTCACCTATCATTGTGATCGGATAGGGCTAAAAATTTAAACCAATAAACTCTTTGTCATGCATTATGTGACTCTGCGTAAGATTTGTACTAGAAAAGTTCGAGCGTAGGCGCATATACGCACTCCAGGGCACAAAACATATCACTTGGTCTTGAGAGCATCCAAACTGACATACAAGTTGCAGCCTGGATGGCGAAAATGTCTCAGTAAATGCTTACGTTTTAAATCGTTGCACTGAATAGACTCGGTATTCCTTACTCTCGTATTTGACGCCTCTTCGATACGCGATGTCCAAAATGTACCTCCAGGCCGTTGCGACCTCTACAAACCACCAGAATAAAACTTATCCCATAGGGTCCTTTAATCTAAGCAATATGTAAAAAATATGCTTGGTAGTGTGATATAAACGAATATAAATAACAAAGCCATCGAACCAGGTGATATTCATATTCTAATAAAAGTGCTGGAGAATTAACCGAAATGGAGATATTGTATGGTGTGTACAAATGACACATGACTGTTTAGTATGATATCTTATGTTATCGGTCACTTTAGATGAAGTCCGTCATTATGCCCCGTCGTATTGGCGTAAAAAGCTCATGATTGCACAGTATGCGGTCAGAGGTCCTGGCGAGAGCGCACATATTCAGAAATATGTTTGGTTACCTCTTAATTCTTCATCATATTGTGTATTCACTTTTGATCCTAATGATTTAGCTGTGAGATTGCAGCGACATAGAGTGGATGTGCGCAATGTATGAAACAGACCTAAGCTATAAC